CATTTAATAATGCTAACTATTAACAAAGCTTTTTCAGAAATAATTATGAAAATTTTGTTTTAAAATATACCTCTCTTCAGTTTGTGAATTTTACACATTGGTATCTCAGTATGAAGACTGGAGAATACTGGAAAATTCATCTTTGTTATTTGCAAAGACATGTTTCTCTTAAATTCCTTTCATGAAAAAAAACTCAAATGATCATTACAACAACTTCTTAAAGCAATATAAAACAGATTATTTCCAATACAAATTTTTAGTAATTATTTGACCATGTTGACAGACAGACCAAAGCTAAGCACTCCTGGTCCCTCTGACTGGACACTAAGGTGCTTATAAATGAGGAATTGAAGAAGAGTAAAAATAATTTTCATTTTATCTGTGTCTGTTGAGATTTCAGCAAGTAAATGTATGTTTGCTTTGTTCAAATAAAGGATGGATGAACACAAACATGGACATCAATTCTATCTTAGGTGATTATATTGTTAACTGTGGTGGTGGAATAACTCTTAGGGTCCTGAAAAGAGTTTAAATTTAAAAAAAAAAAAAAACTCAGGAGCTCAGTGGTTCCACCGCCTGCCTCACAAGCACAAGGTCCCGAGTTCGATCCCTGGTACCAAAAAAAAAACTAAAAATATGAAGTCTGGATCAATCACCAGAGGAAGGAAGCCCAATGAGTAGAATATGAAAGAATACATACAACCCTGAGAACTGAGTGGTAAAAGCACCAGAAGTAAATAACCTTTTCTACTTTCTCAATTCAAATTTGAATAGACGAATTAATTCAAGTCCTTCATGGAAACCATGTGATGAGCCTCGATGTCAGAAACTGGGTTATGGAAACATAAACTATATTCTCTGCTAAGAAACTAGCTCAAATCACTACTTTCTTTCTCCCAGCAGAAGGGGCTGCACACAGTCTGAACTACCTATATAATAAAACCAGTAGTAATATGTAATTCCATTGGCAGCTGCATTCTGATGTAATTTGTCTTGGCAAGTAGGGCCACTTTTATAACCAGTGTCTAGTACCAAAACTTCATTCAGCTGTATCCTCATCCTATAGTCCTTACAAAATATGAGACCAAGAAGGGGAAGGAACTTTCTCTTGAGGACTAACTCACAGCAAGTCCAGCATCACCCTGCTGCCATGACCCTCAAGGTAATGACAACACTGTGTGTAGTGCATTTGCAGCAGTCAACGTCAATAATATATTTTTGCCAAAAAATCTTACCTGAATCTAAACACAGGAAGCAAACAGACAAATACAAATTAAGAAATGTTCGAAACAACTAGTGCAGATTCTTTAACATAGCAAAGTCATATAAAAAAAGATATAGATTAAAGGGAACAACAAAGCAGTGTGAGATCCTTGAGGTGAGCACCATCATGAAGTGATATGCTATCTATCCTCAACCTATACTGAGACTTTAAAGAGAAGGGAGCACAAATGTAGTAAAATATTAACATTCAGGGAAATATGCTTAGTGGAATTCAAGCTGATGATATACTACAAATCAGAAGCTAATAGCACTAATAGGTCTTAAACCTATCTGTAAGAATATTTTCTCACATTGCTTGAAACTTCTCAAATGTTTAATTCTTCCTTCCATCACAGAAAAGTAATTTATAGGGCCGGGGATTTAGCTCAGTGGTTCCGGCGCCTGCTTCACAAGCGCAAGGTCCCAAGTTCGATCCCCGGTACCAAAAAAGAAAAGTAATTTATGCTGCTGTTAAGTGAAAAGTCACTCCAAACAAATACTTACGAGAGCAGGTGGCAGTTTGCCACTCTAGACACTGTCCATATGGAAACGATATTATGTAAGCATTAGAGTCAACACATCGCTTTGTACTACTGCACCACATACACTCCATGCCATTGCTTGTACAGTTGGAACACGAAGTCCTTAGAGAGCATGGCTTTTTGCAAGGCCTTGCATTTTGATTTGGACTAACTGGAATAAATCAACAAATATGCATATTTCATTTGTTAAACTATATTTGAACACAAATGCATGAATTTTGTTTATTTTGCTATTTAGGGAATGTTTCAATGAAGCCAAGTGTGCCAACAAAATATAATTAGGTAAATGAAAACAAAACTAACAGATCAATAGTGCTTAAATTTATTATTAGACTTGAAAAATTTCTGTAAAATTTTGAACGCTTTATAAGTTGTACAGTTTTGAAAA